TGGAAAGGGGGTGCTGGTGTGCTCAAAGCTCACACCTCCCCATCCTGATACTGACTGGCTGACTCGAAGGGAAAAGGTACAGACAGGGCTATGCAGAACCAGCCTGAGCACCTTTTGGGTAAGACACAGAGCAAATGGGTCCCACAGACAGCAAACCCAGAATTTTGATGAGAATGTGTGTCTCACAAAGATAAAAACAACCTGCTCAGAGCCACCCAGCTTTGCTTGTTAAAGCTGAGCCTACCCTGTCAATGACAGACTGATGATAGCAAGACCCCAGGGGCACAGGCACCCAAGTGCCAGGGTTAACAGTACACCCTCCCAGGAAGTCTCTTTTCAGGCTACCACAGGAACCATCTCTATCTGGATAGACCTTCATGTCTCTGAGCTTTGAGGCAATGTTTCCCTGAGGACCTCTCTCTTCTACGGCTGGCTCCTCCTACCAAATTGTCCCCTGGAAGGAGCTGAAGAAAACAAAGGAGTGTTAGCCAAGGGGAAAGGTCAGCATGCATGCGAGCATACACGAACACACGAGCACATGCACACAAGCACAGGCATGCACTCACACACACACACACACACACACACACACATAAATGCACACTCACACGCACTTATGAACGCACACACTCATGTGCTCAAGTGGGGAGGGTAAAATGCTTCTTGGGAGGAGGCTGATTGCTGAGAGTCACTTAGAACGCACACAGCCTTGGCCTAACACAGGCTGGAACTGAACACATCTTCAGTGGAAAGGGAGCCCATGTCTAGTGACAGGAAAAGCCTGGTCTGATTTATTAGTGCTAGGGCTGGGAAAGTCCCCAGAGCAGGGTTCTTCCCCAGGAAAGCATTTGCTAGATGCCATGCCCCCTTTCAACCACACCATCAGGATATCTCTGGGGACAGTAAGTTCCTGTGTGGGTGGAACACTCCGGAAGGCTGCCTGGAGGAGTTGTGGTAGCCCCAAGTTTTCCTAGCCTTCAGAGGCTGCCTGCTGTACCCTGGATTCTGCTTGCTTTGATGAGGCTTGGGCTATGGAAACCAGCATCTTTCCACCGAGCAGACAGCTTTTGGCCTCCTTCTGTACTCAGCCTGCTGTATCTCCTGCTCATAGATGAGTATCAGCTTCCATGTACTTGGCTTTCCCCCAGAGCTAGACCCAGTCTCTCTCTACTCACCCTCCAGTCTGCAGTCTGGCCAGAATTAACCCTCCAGGGACCTCCTCTAGCTTGTGTCACAGACATGGATCCTGATGCCCTACAATGGCCACTGGGGTGCCCCCAGTAGGCTGGCGGTGCTGCCCCCACCGAGCCAGAGAGGGGTAGGGAGACCAAGTGTAAGCCTGCCAAGTGTAAAACTGGTCTAACAGGTTGGTGTGAAAAGGGCTGCTCTGGCCTGCCCAAGCTCAGCCTCAGCGAGGTTCTCAGGGCCAGACCCCCTCCCAACACACAGATCCAGACCTTCCTGTCTGCTGGATAGTACTTGATTTCAGGCCCCAGGCCCCTGGCCTTTCACTTCAGGCCTGGCACTCAGGCTAGGAGGGTTTCCATCTGACACTGGCAGCCAGCCAGTCATGGCTTCAACACTATTCAGACACATATAGCTTTGGTCTAACAGGGTCTGCTCAGACAGCAAGTTAGATGCTGGATTTAGATTAAGGGGCCCTCGGGTCCAAAGGAATGCTAGGTGACTCAGTAATCTTGAGTGAAACATCTTAACAAGATACTAACCAGTTAGACCTGCTGACAGGAAATACCTGTGTGGCTTCATAGCACCTGCTCCCCAGCCATTCCAGAGGCAAAGGCCAGAAAGGGACCCCACATAGGACCACTCTCTGGCCCAGTGGAATATTCCAGGGCCCAGCTCCAGCACCCCAACCCCCAAGGCCCTGCTGAACATATTCTGTCTGGCTTCTGAACCTCAGACGTCTAAGGCTTTGGCAGGAGAGTCTTTAGAGACCGGGTAGAGTAGTGGTTACATGAATAAGGTCTAGAGACAAGGCTATGACCCTGAGCTAGCCATTGCCTCTCTTTGAGCCAGTGCTTCTCAAACTTCCTAACACTGCAACCCTTTAATACAGTTCCTCATGTTGTAGTGACCCCCCACCATGAAATTATTTTTGTTACTACTTCATAACTGTAATTTTGTTACCGTTAGGATTTGTAATATAAATATCTGTGTTTTCTGACGGTCTTAGGGGGCCCCTGTGAACCGGTCCTGACTCACAGGTTGAGAGCCATTGCTCTAAGCCATACTCCTTCAGTTGAAAGCAGGGACAACTTCTGTTACTGTGCAGAGCTGGAAGTAAAATTAATGGGGAGTGAGCCACGCCCCAAATTGCCACCCTTCCTTCCTCCAGTTTCCTATGGCACCCCACCCCTCTAAGTTTCCTGTGTCACTGGCCACCTGCTCTGGAGCCCTCATGGAGCCATCCACCTAGGACCCTTCAGAAATGAGCACCAGAGCACAACATGGCCCTGCTCCACCAGGCGCTCCACCAGCTGGAGTGAATCAGCCATGCCCCCTTACCCTCCCAACTCCACCCTGGATTCCAGGTTTGTTTCTGCCTTAGAGCCTTTGTACTGGTTGTTCCCAGGATTTGGGACAGCCCTTCCCCCACGTTATCCACAGGAGTTAATCCCCCCCCCCTTTTGCTCTGGTAGCCAAGGCCACTGCCACCCTACTCAGCACTTTCTCAAACCCCTTTTGCTGCAGGGTGACCCCCACACCTGAGGCCACTCCCCTGCCTTTGCTTTCTTCATCCACTCAAAACTTGCCCATTTGTTCACTTGTTTACAACCTCTCTTGCACTACCCACAAGTCCCATGAGAATGGGGGCCATGTCTGTCTTGTTCCCTGCTGTGTCCCCAGGGCCTTGAGGAAGTCTGGCTCAGTTAGTGGCCAAAGAGCACATGTGAAGAAACTCAATCACTAAAGGGTTACTATTAATTATTATTTGGATATTATGCAGGGTCCCCCCATGTCCACCTCATGGCTCACCCTTCCTCCCCAGCTAGTACCAGCAGGGTTGTCCTTTTTAGTAGCCCAGGGCCATCCAGGGATGATTGCCCTGGCTAGCTGCTTTTTTTCCCTTTCTGTTGGGCTTGGGTCTGGGGTCCAATGACATGTTTTCTGCTGTCCCTATCCCCAGGCAGGCATTGCTAGCCATCGCATATGAAGACTGAAATGTCAGTAGCTGGCAGTCCCTTCTCAGGAAAGAGACCCTGGTTTGAGGTGAGCTGGGGGTGGGGGGGGGGCGCGTTGCCAGGGCTCTCAGCAGCCAGAAGCAGGTGGAGAGAAACAATTCTTCAAGCTGTCCCCATCTCACAGAGCCGCGTGGTGCAGAGGGGCACTTAGGGTGAGTGGGGTCTGTGCTCAGCTCTCTGAGTGGCCTCAGCCAGCCCCGCTCCTGGAATTTGAATCTAGGGTAGTATTTGAACCCCACTCGCATGCCCAGCTCTCATGCAGACATTCGTGTGAAGAATGAGGTTTTCTTTGTTACAGCAGCTGACTGCCCAGGGGGAGGCACCAGATGTGGAAACCCTGCCTCTGGCCCCGATGTACCCACTGCTTTCCCACTAAATGACTCAGATCTGGGGGGTGGAGGGCAACAGGGATTACCTCACACATTTTGGGGACCACAAAGAGGCTGAGACCAAAGTTGAAGAAAAGGCTCTACCAGGGCCATGGCGACACTCGGAAGAGGTGCAACTGTTGGCCCCCACAGTCAGCAAAAGTTTTACCAGCTGCCACCAGCAACCGAGAAGGTGTCAGATCAAAGACATGGGCTTGGACACTACTCCTGGCTTTTAAAAATATCATCCCTCCCTCATCTACCTCTTGTTCACTCTAACCCAATGTCATTCCTTTAAAAAAAAAAAAAAAAGTATTCTATTTAGTGTGTGTGTTTCTGTGTGGGTAGGAGTGCCGAGGCTGGACGATGCAATCAGTTCCATTGGAACTGGGAGCTCTGGTCCTCTGAAACAGTAGCAAACCCCCTTGGCCCCTGAGCCATCTTCCTGGCCCACACAATGCCATTCCTCTTCTTTGACTGTCATGACTGTCTCCTTATCCTCAGTCCTGGGCCTCCTTGATTCTGGTTTATTTATCTTTTTATTTATTTATTTATGCCTCTTCTGTATCGCATCTCATAGTTTCCTGCTCGCAAGCCACCATTGCTGGCCTCTTGTAATTTACAACTTCTAATGTTCTCAGGACTAAGAACATATCTCGAATTGTTTACAGAATAAGGCGTAGATGGCCACGAGCACAGTTTAAAGGGGCTTCCCTGAGAGGTCCTTCACACATGGAGAAAATATCAGGGCCGTAGCAGGATCCCAGCAGCCTAACTATTTCCCGCGTCAGACCATCAACCCTAGATAGCATTTTCATTTTAATTGTGTTTCTGATGTACAAAATCTTGACTAAGAGGAGACAGCCTGAGCAAGAATCCTGACACCCTTCCCCCAGACCAGACCCCACAGCTCATCGGTCACTATCTCTGACTCAAATGATCTACCTGACTGCCTGGGAAGAGCCCTCTAAGGCCTCAAGTCAGGGACTCCTCAGCATACCGCCATGCCTTCGTTCCCACTGCACGTTCTCCTTGCGAGGACTGGCCTGACTTCTGTGGCTCCTTCTAAGTCTCTGCCCTACCTCCGTGCCCACTTGCACTTTGAATGGATATGTCCTCTTCATACACCTCTCAGGCTTAGAGCCCTTCTGCTACCACTTTCTGCATACCTAGCAGTACAGTGGATAGCACCCTGGAAGGCATGCCAGCAGACCATCACTTCCTGTCTCTCATTTCCCAAGGGGAAGGAGGGGGACGGGGACAAGAAAGGCAGCTCTCTGTTACTTGTACCCCTCAGTTCCCTGGCGGAAACTGCTCAGTCATGTAAGGTTCTGAGCTTCAGCTTTTCCAGATGTGAAACTGGATCATGATAATAGGATGAAAGGGAGGCAAACTCTCCACAACTCCAGATGCCCCATGGAAAGCTTCATAAATGGAAGGCATAATTTTATTATCATTATAGAAAAAAATCAGTGGAAGGAAAACTACCAAACTGGTTTTTGTGTTATAATAACTGCTTTATAAAGTCTCCTTAGGTGTATATTTCTCCCTCTCTCACATGCAGGCAACTTCCTGATTTCCTGGGCCGGAAGCAGACACAAAGGAGTTGCTACAGTAGCTCTTAGGCCAGCAATCCCCTTCCTGACCCAGCGTGTGGCCTTCTGCAGGGGCCATGGCACTGGCCTGTGAGGTTAAGTGTGAGCTCTATGTTTCTGGCTCCTGTTTGTCTGGTTACCCAGCCTCTCAAAAGAGGCTAGGAGAAAAGAGAGTGAGCACATCCATGCACAGGGCCAAGGCATTCAGGACTACTTTGGGTCCAACAATACATCTGGGGATGGGGGTCTCCATGGGAAGAACCAGAGCCAGGGATCTTTGAACCACCCAGGCCTAGGGCAGAGAAGTGAAATGGCTCATGCCATTAACCCACCCCCAACCCCCAAAAGAATAAATAAATAAATACTGTATAACTATGTAGTCCCTCAGCCTGGCCTGCTTCCCCACAAGGGGCTGGCCCTACCAAACTCAGTTCCTCTGGCTGATCCTCTCCCAGAAACAAGCTGACTGCTCTATAGATGGGCAGGGGACCTGCCCTACCCAGTAGGTTAAGAGATCAGGGCTGGGAGAACATACAGAGTCTGAGTAACTAGGGCACGCGAGTGAATGGAGGCCTGGGTCCAGCCTCCAGGGTGAGACAAGGACCTGCCTGTCTCACTGAGCTCTGACACACGGCTCACCACAAAGAGCCATGCGGGACCTGGAGGCATCAACCTCAGAGTCGTGTGACAACCCTTCTCCCACCTGCTTTGTTCTTGCTGGCACTTTCTGAGCCAGCTGTATGTATGCAGGGCACCAGGATGAATGAAAAAGGGACAACAGGAACCCAAGTCCAGCTGGGCCCTGTGTCCCCTCCAGGATGTAATTATGTGAGGCAAGGCAGGGTGCCTGACCCAGTCAGAGCTGGAAGGGGTACTGTCGGAGGTAGTCAGCCATGCGCCGGGGCAGCGGTAGGCAGTCCACATCGGCCACCAGGCGGTTGATGACTAGGCGACACAGATGCTGTAAGCTGCGGGCACTGCTCCTTCGCACAAAGGGCTGCACCAGTTTTAAATGCACAGCGGTAGCCATGGGGAGAGGCAGGGCTGAGTCGCCAGGTGCATCTTGTTTAGGCAGAGGCAGGGCTGGGGTGGGAACAGGATCTGGGCTGTCACTCCGGGTGTCAGCAGCACAGGAGGCCACATAGTGCTGCACAAGGCTGACCACATCTGGGAAGGCCAGGATTCGAGGTCTGGACAAGCAGTTGGAGTCCAGTCGGAAGCTAGAATCAGCATACTCAATGCGTACGTTGGTTGGGCCACGGGTGGTTTTGACGGACAGCGTGAACAAGTAGCTGGGGTGGGTGCTATCTCGCACCAGGAATGTGCCCTCTGGCATCTTCTGTAGGTGCTGCCGGGCCTCACTGGCTGTAATTGAACCCCAATACCATCCTAGACAAGTAGAAAGGAGGCCAAGGAACTGATCAGAAAGGAAATTACTTAAGAGCACCAACCCAGGGTAGGTCAAGATGGAGGGGCCCTTCTTCACATTTCCCTGGAGAGGGATGTATCTCTACTATCAGACTTGGGGGCAGGACCACGCTTCCCAAAGCAGATTCAAAATCCAGAGAGCTTAGTTCCTCCACAGACTTCCCAGGACAAGATCTGTCTCTCCCCTGAGACTCACCGGATTCCCGAAGGTAGGAGAAAGTCTTGGCTATACACAGCAGGTCCTCCTCAGGGTCTAGCACCTTTGGTTTGCTCTCTGACTGGACAGGGGTCTCCTCTGCCACCTCCTCTGGGAATGCCCCAGTGGGCAAGGGCTGCATGGCTGGCCCAGGCAGCTCCAGAGACTGGGCCCACAGAGGCCGCTGCCCAGTTTGCTCCACAGCCAGCAAAGGACAAGATCTAAAGTGGGCAGATAGGTGACAGAGGTCTCACATAGTCTCCATTTTTAGAAGAGTTCTTTGATTGCTTCCCTCCAATATACAGATTTTTTTTTTTTTTTTAAACAAAACAGCCAGGCGTTGGTGGCACACTCCTTTAACCCCAGCACTCAGGAGGTAGAGGCAGGTGGACCTCTGTGAGTTCAAGGCCAGCCTGGTCTACAAGAGCTAGTTCTAAGACAACAGAAAAACCCTGTCTTGAAAGACCAATAAAGAAAGCAAGGAAGAAAGGAAAAAACAAAACAGGATCTTATTATGTAGCCTTGGCTAGCCTGTAATTTGTTTAGACCAGGCTGGCCTCACACTCTCAGAAATCCACCTGCTTGGCTCCCAAATGCTGGGATTGAAGGAATAAGCCAGTACACCCAGCTCATATAAACAGATCCTTCTTGTTTTTTGGAGTGCTGGAAATTGACCTCAGAGGCTCACACATGCTAAGCAAGTTGCTCTACCACTGATCTATATAAACCCATACCCCCAGCTTCACAGAACCCATTCTCAAAAGATTCTTTCCTACTCTCCCGTGTTTACTATATACAAATCAACCCTCAACTTGTTTCACCAAAAATCACAGGCCATCCCCCATGGGCACTTTCAGCGTTCCTACCACAGGATGGGGAACCTGCCAACACAAAAGCTATCTCCACTTGTGCTCTGACCGAGGTAGCCTGTCAAATGGCACTGTATCTGGTAGAGTCACAGAATGAATGAGGGTAGGATCCCCAGGGAGACCTCAAGATTATAGGAGAAAGCCTAAGATTACATGGTAGCTTCCTGTCAATCTGTTGGGGGTGGGGACCTCAGTCTACACTGGCTAGGACTTCAAGACTTAGACAAGCTCCTACCAATACCAGCTGGATCCCTATCCTGGGCTTTGCTTCTCCCAGCTGAGAAGAGACAGTGGCCTCTAAAGGCATAGGCAACTCTCATGTCTCATAACTATGAGCTCCCACTAAAGGACAGAAAACTCAGCCCACATTCCAGACTCCACCCTGTTGAGTCAGCTCTGCTATGTTGTATGAAGTTGTGGGCGGTTTGTGCCTCTCTGGGTTGCAGTTTTCCCTCCTTCCAGATGAGGGCCTACTTGCCCTGAGGGGGTTGGCAATATTGGAGAGCTGGGGTTAGAGGACCTCAGAAGGCTGAAATCCCAGGGGAAGCCCACCCAGGTGGTGATTCAGGGGCCCTGCTTCCTGAGAAAGGAATCGTTGGCTCGCTCTCATTTCTAATACAATATGTCCCCGGGCCTCAGTTCTGTGTCTAGGCCTCTGTTGGATCTGAGGAACTCAAGATAATGAATCCATAGGCTCTGCCTACACTTGCTGGGGAAGGGACCCTGTATCAGGTATTGCTTGTAAACAACAAGGGCAGTTAATAGCTGGTGGCTGTCAGCAGGAACAGAAGCCAGACCTGACAGTGTAAGTGGTGTTTAGAAGGTCATGGTCCTGTCGCCACTCATGAGAAGGGGTGACTGGCTCTGCCTGCCAAGGGATTTTCCACACTCAAACAATCTGAATGTGCTGTGAGAGCTCTGGAAACCCACTTAGTGAGCTAGGAGCAGAATTTTGAGGTGACCTGCCTGCTGGGGCTCATAGCCTGATTCAGGTACCCTCTGAGAGTATGTGGGCAGCTAGCCAGTCATTCCACAGCCTCTGTGGTAAGCATAACCAGACAGCTTAGTGACTGAGGCCGCTAGCACAGGTCCCACATGTGAGTAGTAGGCAACTCTGGGGCTGGTATGCTGTCTGGGTGTGGAATGTCTCTGTCAATCCCCACAGGTTACTGGGGAGAAACCACATATCTAGGTAGGGCTGTGTCTACCGCTGTGCCATTGTGGTGATGGAGGGTGTTAGGGCTGGTGTCTTCCATGGACCTGTGTGTGCATGTCTTGGAGTCTAGCCAGAAGCCCCTGCCCGAGACTGCATGCCGGTGAGATGAAGGAGGCCTAGGGAGGTGGGTTACACACACATCTGCTAAAGATCTCATTTCCATAATACCCAACAAGGTCCTGAGGGCCCCAGGGGCCGTCAGTGAAGTCAAAGTCAAAGAGGCTGTTGGGACCCAGAATGGAGGAGGGGGTACCCAAGAAGGCAGGCAGTGTGTGGGTCTGCTGAGGACCCCAAAGTTTAGGGAATGGAGGAACATGGTAGGAACCACCAGTCTTCCCAGCACCTCCATGTCCTCTTCCTGTGATCTGGGACTTCTCGAGCAAGGGCACTTCAGCCTAGCCTCCCCTCCCCTCTCTCCCTTGGCACCGTCTCCAAGTCAGTTATAACAACTGCTGCGGGACCACCCAGCTCTCCCTGGGCGTGTAATGTCCACCTATGTTATTTCCTTTCAGCGTTTCCTGAATTACTGACTGGCCAGTGACTTAAGGGGATGCTGAAACAGTGTGAACAAGTGTGCCAAGAAAACTCCGCTGAGTTTGTCTTCCCAAAGCCTCACTCCCACCACAGTCCCATATTCCATGTCTTTGGGGAACCTTGGAGAAGGTAGGCTAAAGTTTTTGTCACCTCTGGGCTAAAGAGGTGTGGGGGGTGCTACTAAGGGTGTTGGTTATCAGGTGCCAGCCTTGGGAGAGTCAAAGACTTCAGGCTGGCTTCCCAGGAAGAATCTAACCGCTGACCTGGCACAGAGGAACGGACACCTGAACAGAAAATGGGGCTAGCTCAAGGTCACCGATAAGTAGGAATCCGGATGGCTGGGTAAGCTCTGGGCTCACAAAGGTCTAGACTGGTGAGCTCCATCCTGGGGGACCTCTTATAGTTGGCGCCAGGGAGATCTCAGGAATGGGGGCTTCTCCCACTGCTTGCCAACCCCGTTTCCCTATCCATACTGTGTGTTTGTGTGTGTGTGGGGGGGGGATCCTAGACGCACCTCTTGAGTTCCTCTCACACTTCATCACTTCCAACCGGTCAAGCCCTCCCAAACCCCGCAGCTAGCTCGAGGCCCGTGATTTCCCGTGCTTCCCGCATGGGGCACGGGCAGGGAGAGAGCTGTGCTTACCCCTGTACGCAAAGGACCATATCCCAGAGGCAAGGGCGGCTCGAGAGTCGGGACTCGGCGGGACCGGAGCAGAAGGGAGCCAGTGGGTGTCGAGGGCACGAAGGTCAAGGTCCCGGGGCGCACAGGAGACGAGCAGGGACTGAAAGGCTGTAGAGCTAGCAGCCTGGAAGGACGAGGGGGACGGGCCGGACAGGAGGGAGGGGCGGGGCCAGGCGCCTCCTAATCTTTTGTTCGCTGCGTCCCAGCCCTTCCCGGAAGCCGCATCTTCCTAGAACCGCAGGCTTTGTGGCGGTCGGGAGGGGAACAGGGGCGCTGGCGTCCGGGGATCTGGACTGCGAAAGGAAACACCTTTGACAGGTTTCCAAGAACTTTCCAGGAAAATTGGGCGGGCGTTCCTCGAGCTGACCAATCGTAGCGCTGGAGGTGGAGCCGAGCAGTTGGACGGGCCAATTGAAGTGCGTGGACCCTGGACTGACGTGAACGAGTAAGGCGGGACCTAGAGCTCGGTAGGGAGAAGACTGGGTTGGGGGCAAGTTAAGAAAGAACAACGGTGCGACTCCCGCAACTTGAGGCCAGGATGCCTTCCTTTCCTCTGCTTCTTTGGGGATGGGTGCGCTTATCTCCCCTGCGCGGGGGCAGGGTCTGGGCCAGTCTTCCTAGCTAGCCGCTCCTAGGGCTCCTTATTGGGTCTCACAGTGTGGAGCTGCCAGGAGTTGGGGGTATGGTGTGAGATCTGGAGAGAGACTTAGGGAAAGGCGTGGAGTGCATAGGGGGCTCGAGGAAATTGTCAGGTCTGCTATGATCACCACAGCTAGAAGGATTCAGGCTACATCTGATCTTTTGTATCAAATGAATCCATCCCATCTGTGCCTGATCTCTGAGTGGGTCTCCAGTCGTGGAAATCCCACAGAGACAGTCCTCTCCTAAATAGCTCAGCTGGTGGCTTTTTTGTTTTGTTTTGTTTTTGTGTGTTTTGCCTTTTTTTTTTTTTTTTTTTTTTTTTTTTTTTTTTGGTTTTTCGAGACAGGGTTTCTCTGTAGCTTTGGAGCCTGTCCTGGAACTAGCTCTGTAGACCAGGCTGGCCTCCAACTCACAGAGATCCACCTGCTTCTGCCTCCCAAGTGTTGGGACTAAAGGTGTGCACCACAAACGCCTGACTAACTTGCTGTGTTTTATTCCCAGTAACTCACCAGGGAGAAAAAAAAAAAAAAATACAGACTGGCCTGGCCTGGAACTCAGTATGTAGGCCAGGCTATCCTAAAACTTCCCAGAACAGGCTTCCAGTGTAAGATTACAGGCTAAGCCACCCTATCCAGTTTACCAAGGGGCAGACTGAAGGACTATAGGGTCTATTGAGAACATCCTCCAAAACCGTGGTCCAGGATATGGGGAGACGAGAGCTGGAGAGCCAGTAGTATCCACGACTTCCATACCCATTACTGCCAAGTATGTGTGCCCTTTCCCTCTCACATGTCACCCCACCCAGCTTCCTCAGAAAGGGTGGCTACAGAATCTTCAGCAGGGATGACAGGTTTCTAGTTGCGTATAGAATCTTGAATAGTAGAGTCTGGGCTTTCCCCAACACAGATAAGGCTCTGGGTGCCCCACCCAAGATAGAGAGCTGATGATAAAACTCTGTGAAATGGAAAGAGTACTTAGTGAAGACCAGAAATGACTCCAAGGGACCCAATTCTCCGTAGCTGCCTTGAAGGGGAAGTTAGACTTCAGGGTAACCCAACCAGGGCTCCCAGAATAGAATAAGAAGCCAGTTTCTTGGAATGTGGGTGGGGTAGAGCTGGAGTATCTAGAGAGCATGGGATCCCTGTATGGCTGCTAACTCTTCAGTAGGAACTGCCTATTGCCACATTGCTATGAAGATAAGATTTCACAGATGTCATGCAACTGTGTGTGTGTGTGCGCGCACGCGTGTGTGTGCATGTGTATGTGTTCACATGTTTGCAGGTGCCACAACACTCATGTGAAACCAGAGGATAACCATGTGAGCCCCAGGGCTCACACTAAGGTTTTCAGGTTTGGTGGCAAGCATCTTGGTCTGCTGGTCTATTTCACTGGCCCCCAGAGCTGTGATTTTGAACTTGGATCTTTATGGTGCCATATATCAAGTACTCTACCCCAAGACTATGTCCCTTCCAGTTCACCGAGACCACTGAGCACTTACCATGTGCTAGACACTCAGCAAATTCCAGTTTTATTTCTCAGTCACAACTACCACAGACAATGCTGTCTTTTTTTGTGTGTAAACTAAGACAGATTACAATGTGCTTAGATCTTACAGCCAGCAAGTAGTGGGTTGGAAGCAAAGCCCTCCAACCTTCCAAATACTTCCTCTCTAGGTCAAAGTAACCTTCAAACTCCTCAGCATCCTTCCAGTCCTCAATCTAGTCTGCATCAGAACACCTGGGTATCCCTTTGAAAGCATCTCCTACAGAGGTCAGGGGTTAGGGCGTCCTGAGCAAACCAGTGTTCACAAGGGGTTTGACTCTTCTGATAGTCTTTTGTGGATTTAACAGTGTTATGCATCTCACCTGTGTGCCTGGAACTGTGGCGTGCCTCTGTTCTGCCCAACTGCCCATCTACTTGCTTCAGTCAAGGTCTGTGAATAACTCTGGCCATTTCCTTGTTGCCTCTCCAGTCCCTGGCTGCGCCCTTTAAATGGGCTCCTCCTCGACTGCTGGGCCCACAATGCCACCTAGTGGCGCCTCTTCAGCCCTCACTAGCCAAATAGCCAGAGAGAGTCCTTTCTAGCATGTTCCAGGCACTGTATGGATTCCGGTCGCTGCAGGACACTTTTGTCTCCCTCCTCCTAGAAAAATCACAAGATGGATAACAAGAATGCACAGCAACATTCCCTCAATGTCTGGTTTCTACCCTTTCACCATAAGCAGGTGCCCTTTCATCAAAAGGCAACTGTGGTGAGGAGCAGCGACCGCCCTCCACCAGGCACTTACTGGATGGTCTGTTTGGCCACTGTCAGCTACTACAAAGGCCACAGTCTCTGTTCCCTTGAACACAACCATTACAAAGGGCTAAGTGGCAGAGTCTGCATGCCTGCTCATGCCCCAGCATCCTATGTCTTACATCTTTTCAACAGTGTGAAAAGGGACATGATTCCAGGTGGTTGCTGCAGCATAAGCATTGAGAAGAAGCTACATATTCTGATTTTCCTGGGTTAAATGAACAGCTGGAAAACCTCATGTGTTTGTATAATCATAGGCATTTACATTTAAGTGTGTGTGTGTGTGTGTGTGTGTGTGTGTGTGTGTGTGTATGCCACAGTGTGAGCATAGAGGTTAGAATGCAACTTTGTGAAGTCTATTTATTCTCTCCTTCCATCTTTGCATAGATCCTAGGGATTGAACCCTGGGCTTATGTAAGAAGTGCACATTTACCCACCGAATCATCTCACCAGCCAGGAAGGGCATTTTTTTTTATGGGACTACTTATTTTCTATACTTCAATGTGGTTTGAACAATTGCAGCAAGCAAATTAGACTTCTATGAGTATAAATGAAGTGTATGGTGGCTCATATCTGTAATTCTAACACCCGAGAGGTTGAGGCAGGAAGATAAGGAGTTGAAGGTTTTTGTCTACTTAGTGAGTTTGATGTCAGCTCGGGCTACACAAGACCCTGTCTCAAAAAATAAATTAAATGCTTTCTAAATGCCCAGGGATGGGTTCGTATGGCATTGTTCTTGGTTCCTATTACTTAAAGGGAAACTTATACAATGTTGGGAGCCTTTGATGTCCTCAAATTCCTTGAGGCACCGACCTCAATTCTCAGATGGAACAGCACATCAACAAAAGGAAAAGTGATGGTTTCTCAGTCATAAATTTGAAGAGGACCGGGGGAAGCTGTTGCTTGCAGCTCGGGCTATGGTTGCCATTGAGAACCCTGCTGATGTCAGCATCCTCTCCTTAGGGAACACTGGCCAGTGAGCCCTGCTGAAGTTTGCTGATGCCACTCCAATTGCTGCTATTTCCCACTTGGCACCTTCACTAACCAGATCCAAGCAGTCTTCAGGGAGCTGTGGCTTCTAGTGCTGACTGAAGGCTGGGCTGACCACCAGCCCCTCACAGAGGCGTCTTATGTCAACCTGCTCACTATTGCTCTGTGTAACACTGATTCTACGCTAGGTGAGCATTGCCATCCCATGCCAACAAAGGAGCTCACTCAGTGTGCCTGATGTGGTGGACGCTGGCCCCGGAGGTACTCTGCATGCATGGCGATATCTCCTGTGAGTGCCTATGGGAGGTTATGCCTGATGTTTACCCAGAGGAGATTGAGAAGGAGGAGCAGGCTGCTGCTGAGAAGGCTGTGACCAAGGACGAATTTCACAGCGAGAGAATGGCACCAGCTCCTAAGGCCATCGTTGCTCTCCAGAGGCGACAGACCTGTCTGAGAGTTGCATGTGCCCTCTGTAACCATCCAGCAGTTCCCTACTAAAGGCTGGAGTGCCCAGCCAGCCCCTGAGGACCGGTCAGCAGCTCCCACAGTGCAGGCCACTGAGTGGTTGGAATCAACCACTGAGTGTTCCTGAGCTGCTCCGCAGGCACCCGAGCAAACAGGAAAAGGTGGGAGGAGAATAAAATTCCTAAAAGCTGAAAAAGACATGAATAATAAACAAAAATTAATAAAATGATTTAACTTAAAAACACAATTATGAGAATTTTAGGGTACTTAAAATCTAGTCCTGTATATGATTATCTATCTGTGTTTCTTGTGTGCATTGTGTGTGTACCAGGCTTTTTCTTTTAGGCCACCAACCAGCTCCCAAATCATGACACAAAGAGTTACGCTTAGTTTTGAATGTCCCTCCTAGTTTAGGCTCCTTGCTGGCTAGCTCTTTTAACTTAACCTCTACCTTTTACCTTGGGGCCTATTACCTTTCTTACTTCTGTATATCTTTCTTTCACTGCTTCCCCGTGTCTGTCTGTCTGTCTGTCTGGCATCTCCCTTGTTTTCCCATTCTTCTCTCATTCATCCTCCCTTGCTTCTTCTCCCACTTATCTTCTCTGTCTTCCAGCCCCACCTATCCTTTCTCTGCCTCGATACTGGCCATTCAGCACTGTATTAGACTAGTCAGGGGCCATAGGCTGGCAAGGTGAAACAAATGTAACACATGTTTTCATAATTAAACATATATCCTTACATTGTTAAACAAATGCAGCGTAAACAAATGTACCATTTACACAGTTAAATTGATATTTTGCAGCATAAACACAAGCAACACATCTGTGCCTAGTTAAAATACTATTCCACAGTAGTGTGAGTGCATGTGTAAGAGTATACTTGCACGTGTGAATGAGTAGAGCAAAGA